AAAATGTTAGGCAAGTGCTTTCTCTACTGAGATTTTTATGTGCATTTGTGTGTGTGTGTGTGTGTGTGTGTGTGTGTGTGTGCATGCGTGCATGCACGAGTGCGTGCACACACTAGAGCCTCACACATTTGGTGGGCCTTTTTGTTGTTGTTTTATAGGTCATGGGGCTTGAACTCAGGGCTTGGGCACTGTCTCTGAGCTCTCCACTTGAGCTATAGTACCAATTCCTTGGTGGGCCTTTTTGCCCTATCACTTGAGTTATGCCTCCACTTTTGACTTTTTGCTGATTAATTGGACATAAGAGTCTCATGGATTTGTCTACCTGGGATGGCCTGTAACTGATTCTCAAATCTCAGCCTCTTGAGTAGCTAGGATAATAGGCATGAGCCACCAGTGCCCAGATAGGATGGCTTTCTTACCATCTGGGTTTTCCATTCTCCCAGGCTAAAGTCTACAGCAGGCAATAGGACAGGTGTGGACAAGGGATTGACGTCTGGGCACTGGCTCTGTTGAGAAAGATGGGTAAGAGAAGAAAGGAGCTGAAATAGAAGGGAATAAGGTAGCTTCTAACATTTAAAGTACAGACTGAACTTGAGTAACTTAAACTCCCAGCCATGAAATATCTGGGTCAATTTGGGCAGGTGATTGTGACTGGGATAATCTGTGAGCACTATATTCAGACTAGAGCTTATAAAAGACTCACTAGTGCAAATCATAATTCTTGCTAGGGAGAGGTCATCAGGAGACCATACTGAAGAATAGTCATTGTTTGGGGAATGAGAGGAAGTGATGGGAGGGTCCCTTACCAGTTAGGTGGATTGCGAGGGGCAGTGCTTGGGAAATCTCACCAGTTTACTGTGAAGGACATAGGAGTCACGAAGCAGTTTATTTAGAAGTCGGAGATCACAGGCAGGAGGAGCTGGGCTGGATAGAGTTAGTCTTGCAGTAAGGAGAAGCATGACCATGAGGAGCAATTCTTAGGTGAGAACAGGTGAGGATGACAGGGGTGGACAAAGAAGAAGAAATCATCATCAGGTAATGATCCAGAAAATCCCACTGAAATAGGAGGAGGGATTGCTGCTCAGACAGACCCTGTATTCCTGGGAGATTGAGATTGGGTTATTCCTCCCCCTACCCCAGCAAGCCTCCCCACCCCCCCCTCCCCTCCATATTCCTGGCCCTAGTCCCTCAAGTGTTTTATTACCAGTCAGCCCCATTCTGGCCGGGATGTCTGACTGGAGTGGCTCCCTGTGTGGGGCCTCTCCCCTGAATCCTTCCTGGGGCCATGGAGGCGGCTTGGCCCTTAGGCTTCTGGGCAGAGTGGGGTGGGGCACAGGTGGGCCAAGGAAGAGGATCTGGAGTTTATCCTGAAAGTGACATGAATAGTGAACATTTCATCATGTTCTTAAGATAAAAAGACTGCCTGGCAGAAGGAGAACAGATGCTAACAGGCCTTGATCTGCTGACCAGCCCAGAACTACTGAAGGTCTGACTGCTCCCATGTTTCCCTGGGCCTATGGCATATGGTGTCTCCTATTTGTTAGAGCTCTTTAGTGACTCTTATACTCCTTCCACCCTGCTGAGAGGAGCTGAACAAGACAAGCATACATACACATCTTAATTGGCCCCAAATTTTGGTTGTTAGTGGGAGAAAATCTGGGATGGATATAGGGAAGGGAAATAATGTATGGTTCAAGCCTGAAGATGAGAGTGGAAAATGGAGATGGACCCAGGATGAGAAAGCTAGCAGGGCATGCGTAAAGTATTGAGGTGTAGCTTCAGTGTTGGGGAGTGGAGTGGAGGAGGCAACTTGGGCTAAGATATAAATGGGACCAGCAGAGGGGCAGGGATTAACATTTAGTGTGAAAGACATCAGCTTCTCATTCGTTCCCTTTTTACTCTACACATAAAGCCCCCTAGAGTTTTTCTTTGTACTCCAAATTCTGAGATGCCCTGTAATCCAAGTCAAAAAGATGGCCTAACTGTCCTAGGACTTCCTTCCTGAGGTAAATGGCCCAGGATTGGGCACCTGCTGTGCAAGGATGCCCACTTTCCAAAGTTTACTTCACTTCAGACACCCACCAACATAACTATCTCATAGCTGCACCTGTTTCCCCACCTCCTCTGCAGACCTCTTCCGGTCCCTTCCCAGGACCCCCCACATGGCTTCCTCCTCCTTTCACAAGTTGTGCAAAGAGCCTGCACCTGATTCAATATTGGGATTTCCTGTAGGTCTGTCAACATACATGAGCCCTCCTCCCACCACCCGCTCCTTGTGTCCTAGCTTGCCTAACCCAGCTTCCCAGGTCCCAGGATTCAGAACCTTAAACTAGCAAGGAATGACCAGGTGAGACTAGAAATCAGGGCTATGTCCATCTTGGTACCGGATGATCAAACTCGCTACACACCTCCTTTCTTATTTTCTCCCTGGGCCCACGTCCCCTTTCCTAGGGCCAGCCAGGACTGTGTTGTATTCCACCAAGTCTGTGATCAGTAGCTCAGAAACCAGCACCCAACCCCCTACCCCTGCTCTGTCCTGCTCCTCCCATTCTGGGAAGGCTCCACTTTTCTCGACAAAGGTCAGTGCCTGTAGGTTCCAGTTTTCTTCCCCTCCCCCCGCGGAGAGCCTAACTCTTCTCTCCTGTCCTTCATACCATACCCTCACTTAACCCCCGACCCTGCTTGCCACTCGCTCACCCGGTGGAGAAGGGCTCCAGCACCCAGGTGCACAGCAGACAGCACTCTGGGGGGCAGATGAGTAGGAAGACATGCGTTGGGGCACAGCCCCTCCACTGCAGTGGGATCAAAACGCCTGCCCAGGCCACTTTTGCCCAATCAGAAAGCAGAGAGCCACTAGACACTAGCGAAGGCCCCCGGAAGTGACGATTTTTCCTACGGGTGCTGGACCTGGAGCCCCTGCCTGGACCATGGTCCATTAACAGAGCCCTGATTCTCCACCCACACATACCACCGGAAGGATTTACATAGGGATCTCTCTTTTTCTAGGAGATGGGAACCTGGGACCTAGCTGGAGGACAGATAGGAGAGAATCAGAGGGAAAATCTGTCAAGGCATGTTTGCTGGAGAAGAGATACAGAGGTCCTATATTAGACTGGTGTGATTTTTCAGTTCCTGGCTATCCAAATTTCTTTTCCCTGGACACCACACCTGTTGTAGAAACCCAACAAGACTCTTTATTTTCTGGTACTCCCTCAGGGAATCCTTTTCCTGCCATTTCCTTCTTTCAAGTGGAAATCTGGTATTGTCTATGTTAGAAAAAGATCTTGTTAGGGATCCTGTTATGGGGAAAAGGTACAGATAGTTTGAGGGGACTGGAAGATGCTGGCTGTGTGCTGATTTAACACAAGCTTTTGTGCTAGGGTCCAGGGGCTTGGACAGCTAAGCCTACTTACCTCTGTGCCAGTACCTTCCTTTGCTTGCCCCGTCTTTTGCCCTCTTTCATTCTTACCACTCTCCATGTGACAAGAGTAATAACCAGGCCCATGTGTCCCTGTCTTAGGAAAGACAGCTGCTGAGCCTCCCCCGCAAATACCTCCCTGCTGGCCCCCCTCTTCTTCTGGCCCTGGCTCTAGCTCCTTTGCTTTCCCCTTGGTCCCAGTCTCCCCACAGTCTGTCCTTGGGCCTCCTGGACTGACCTTGTCCCCTCCCCCTTCCCTTGTTCTTCCTTAGGCACTCTCCTGTGCCTTCTTGCAAGGATGGGCCCTGTTAAGGAGTATGGCCTAGATCCCGGAATTCTCCAGTTCAGTCAGAAGAGATGCCTCCCAAGATTAGGAAAGGAGGGTGCTGGGATAGCTGGGAGGATGGGGGGGAGGTAGGGGTGGGAGGGGACAGGGAGGCACGACCAGAAGGCCAAGACAAAGAAGGTTGAGGATGGGCTGGAGAGGAAATGGGTCCCTTGGATGAGGGAAGAGGGTGGGAACGCGAGAGTAACGGTTGGATAGGCTTGAGCACAGGTTACAGTGGAGAGGAAACCGTTGTCACACCGTTTCTGGCTAGGTCCTTGACCTGGAGAACTCCAGCATGAGAGAGACCTGGGAGTGCAGGTAGAAACACACAAGGAAGAGAGAGGGGTGCTGCGGGCCCAGAGTCTAGTCATCCTAAAGCCATCATCCTTCCAGCGGTTTTCGCCCAGTGACTGGTCCAGGCCTAGGGCCCGGCTCTGCCTCTCCCTGGTCCCAGACGCGCACCTCTTGGTCCAGCTGCCCGGTGGCCACGGGC